GTGAGGGTAGGAGTGCCCTGGAAGCATAGTGTAATTTCTTGATGAGCTCTAAATGTGGGCTGGGAGGTGAAAGGGCCAAAGCCCCTGTCTTTCTCCCTGGAGTATCTCACCCAAAGATGAGGCAGCCCCTCCACTCTGCTCCCTGCCAAAGGGCTGGGTCAGATTCTTACCTCTTGAGGGTCCCTCCCCTCACCGAGAACTCCATGGGTCACAATTAGAAAGCCAATCCTGGCCGGGCACGGTGGCTCATGCCTGTAATCCCAGCATTTTGGGAAGCCGAAGCAGGTGGATCGCCTGAGGTCAGGAGTTCGAGACCAGCCTGGCCAACATGGTGAAACCCCGCCTCTACTAAAAAATACAAAAATTAGCCACGTGTGGTGGCACATGCCTGTAATCCCAGCTACTCGGGAGGCTGAGGCAGGAGAATTGTTGGAACCTGGGAAGTGAAGGTTGCAATGAGCCAATATCGTGCCACTGCACTCCAGCCTGGGCAACAGAGCAAGACTCTGTCTCAAAAAAAAAAAAAAAAAAAAAGGAAGCCAATCCTAAATATTAACTTGATATCCAAGTTAACAGTAACCAGAAAACCATGGTCCTCAAACCACAGATTGGTATTTTGCTGTAATCGTCAAGTTTTAATAACGTACCTCTACTTTCTGGGTTTTAAAATTCACATCTTTGAATATTAATATTTCTGCATTAACAACTCCCAAATTCAGAATTTCATCTTTAACTGCTTGCTTAGACAGAATCAATCCATTACCAATTGTCTTCAAATGTGCAAGGTGATCTAAGTAAATGCCAAAAGGTAAGAAATACACTTAGCCTGTATAAGTGTATTTCTTACACTGATATAAAAAATGTAAAATACCAACCATATTTCTTTCTCAGCCAATGGCAAGAAACGGAGCCCTGTTACTCACTGCCCACGCCCAGGGTACAGCTTCTGTCTGTCTGGGAGGCGACTGCCTTGTGCCAAAAAGGCACCCCCGCTAAGGCATGGAAACCTGATGGACAGGCAGCCCTCAGCTCAGGCCACTCGGCCCCTGCCAACAATCCCCCAACGGACCATCTCTCGTTCATGGTCAGTCTCCCGCTCTCAGGAAAACCTGGCCTAAAGTCTACCTCCTTAGATGCTCTCAGCAATCTACCATGTCTGACTTTGCTCCCAGCCTTCAGGAGCCAAGTGTTCCAGGGACCCGTGGTGCTTGCCATCCACAGGAAGAAGTCTCAAGTCTCTTGCTGTAGGGTTCCCCTCCCCACCTCAGCCCCCCACCCCAGCCGCCAAACCAACCCCCCATCATGCCCCTGCCAGGACCTGGCAATGAGCACCTGACCCCATGCCCACACCCACCCCTCCTGCCAGAGGCTGCAGCAAGGCCTGCTCTTCCCAAATCTTCCTCGAGACTGCTCCAATCAAGCCACACACGGAGCTGCGGCCTGGGCCAGACCACAAACTCAAAAGGCCCTACAGACCATCCCGGCCTACGCCCTTCACGCTACTGTCATCACGCCGAGCCACACCACTGGGTGAGCCCAGGGCCTCAGGCCATAGGGGGCTCCCCCGGTCTCTCTGGCAGTACGCATTGCTCACCACCCTCAGCCCACCTCTGCCCTGTTCCCTCTGTTCCTTATCCTCTGCTGTCCCCACACCTCGAGACCCCGCACACTCCTACTGCAGGCAGCAGGCGACCTGGCCCTGATCTGGGGAGGCAGAGGGAGGTTTGAGACCAAGGCTGAGCTCAAGTGGGGCAGACCCCAGGCCAGACACCCCAAGTAGCCACACCTGGAGGGCCAACCATCCAGCTGGACCAGGGCCCTGAGGGTCTAGGCTGGGAAGACAGTGGGGGCCACTGTCTACCACAAGCTCCTCTTCCCTGCAGGCCAAGGGATGAGGGGAGCTGGGGAGGGGTGTGCCCCTCAGGTCAAACCAAGAGGCCAAACCTGAACTTCTGTTAGAGCAGGAGGTCAATCGAAGCCCAAGGTGCAAAGTGTTGCAGAGACATTTCAAAGGGTCAGAAAGGACAATTCCAGGAACAAGGAGCTTCATTAGAGCAGTGAGAGGCAACTGGGGCGGAAGCAGCTGCGTATTGGAGAGGAGGACGACAGCAAGATTCATCTTGCTTGGGAAACAGGCTATTAATATCCCAGCTAGCAGCTGGAGGTGCACCCGGCAGGCAGGGGAACGTGGTTACTGAGCAGCGGCGGCTCTTGGGGACACAGTCTCTGCCCAGCCCGGCACAGAAGTGCTGGCGGCCTGGGTGAGTGGAAGGCAGGGGGATAAGCTGCACCTGGACCCCAGGAATGCAGACAAGACTGTCCATAGGGAAGCAGCTGGGGGCAGCTGGAGGCAGAGGCTGGAGCCCCATGTCAGGGTCCACGGCAAGCAGGGTAGGGGGCACCAGCCAGAGGCTCCTGCCTCAGTGAAGCAGCACTGGTGACAGTGAGGTGGAAGGCCCCGAGGGGAGAGACATGAGTGGATGGCCCCCTGCAGGGAACAAGGAGGGGAAGGAGTAGAACAAGCAGGCCAAAGATGGCCACAAGGGTTCTCACCCGCAGCGCATTGCATCAGCCAAGTCAGAGACTCGGCCAACAGCCTGACGCATGGGTGCGGAAACTGATGCACCAGCACCCAGTGTGGGGGGGCGGGGGGCAGTGTCTCAGCCCAGCCCCCAGCTGAGGGGCTGGGTGAGCACCCCCCAGTCTGCCCCAGTCTGGCCTGGATCAGAGGTTGGAGAGATACCAGCCTGGTGCCCGGGGAGATGATGCAAAAGTAAGGCAGTCCCTGGCTCTCCAGAAAGTGTCCCAGTGGTGACAGGGTGGGGTGGGGAGTTTGCAGAGCACAGCCTCCTCTGGGCTTTTGGCAGGGGCCACAGGGACTGGGGGGCAACAGGGGACAAAGGCTGGGATGAGAGGTCACACCTAGGAATCCTCCTGGGGGGTAGAATGAAGCCTTGGCTTCCTGACACTCACTGACAGTGATGAGGGTTCCCCGGGGCCCCACCAGCCTCCCTCAGGGAACCTCAAGGAGCAGCTGGCAGAGCTCTGCTTCAGGGGTCACATCTGGAGCTCCTGGCTGGGACCACGCCCACCACACAGCTGTCAGATGTGAGCTCCTGGGGGGCTCCGCATTCTCTCCAGAGGAGGAGCAAGCAACGCTCTCACCGCTGAGATGGCCCATGATTCATTGACATCAGGGAAAACTGGGAATCGGTGATCCTGGAGCCCACCTGGCTCACCATGCAGATGGGGAGACTGAGGCACAGAGGAGCAATGGGATTTGCTGGGGTTTGCTTGTGGGCAACTGCCACTGAGCACCAGCTCTGAGCCAGGTTCCAGGTGAGCATGATCTCCTCCAGTGCCCACCACAAGCCCAGGCAGCAGCAGGTTACATGTGGAGGAGCTGAGGGTCCCCTTGCTGCAGAGACCCAAGCAGAGGACCTAGAGAGGTTCATGGCATGGTCGAGGAAAGGTGTGCAGGACACTGGAGACCCAGCACCAGGTAGTGCTGGGGGGATTCAGGGAGCCCTGGGCCTGGGAAAGGCAGCAGCTGGCAGTGCCTGTACCCCCTCTGAGGGCCTGGGAGGCCTGGGGAGAGAGAGCAGCTCCACCTCCATGGCCAGCATTTCAACAAGCTGGGCTAATTGCTGCCAGGTATGGGAGGCGGGGCCGCGTTGGGGAAACTCCCAGGAGGACACGGAGATCTGCGCAGTGAAAAAGCAAACCTACTACCCACCCCCCGCCCACCCCATCGCTCTTAGCATAGGGGGAGGGGGGAGATGATACATATTTATGAGCTCATAAGCCCTCCTAATCACCCCTACATCACACACACAGATTCCAGCAGCTTGGGCTCATACACAATTGTAAGGCGGTTCCTCCATCACTGCCTTGGTCCACCAGAGAACAACAGAGGACACGGGGGCTGCAGAGGATGAATGGCAGGAGAAGGGCTGGGGATCCAGGTGTCAGAGGTGGGGCTGGAAGCTGCCCACTGTCCATGCTCAGCAGTCTCGAGCGCAGGGGCCTTGTCTGCTATAGCATCAGCCGACAATGCAGGCCACAGGCCCCCAGCGCCAGTCACCAGCCAGTCCAGGGAACCACGCAAAGCCATCGTGGAGGGCTCTCCTACCCTCTCCAGGCTCTCCCAGGGGCCGTGGGTGAGGGGTGACAAGCAAGGGAGGGGCTTCTTTCCCTGTGCCCAAGGTCTGTCCTCCTGCCTGGAGAGAAAAGGGGAACCGCTTCCCAAGCAGAGTTTGGAGGCTTAGCCTGGTGCTTGGTTAGTTAAGAGAAGAGGTTAAGGGGATCCTACCTGGGATTAGGGCAGCAAGGGACATGGGGGAGCTGCTGAGAGCCGGGTTGGAAGGGGTTAATGGCTGGGACTAAGAGAGGTGCCTTGGGCCAGGCGCAGTGTCTCACATCTATAATCCCAGCACTCTGGGAAGCCGAGGTGGGTGGATGACCTGAGGTCACGAGTTCGAGACTAGCCTAGCCGACATGACAAAACCCCATCTCTACTACAAATACAAAAATTAGCGGATGCCTGTAATCCCAGCTACTCAGGAGGCTGAGGCAGGAGAATCGCTTCAACTCGAGAGGTGGAGGTTGCCACGAGCTAAGATCAGGCCACTGCATTCCAGCCTGGGTGACAGAGCAAAAAAAAGGGCAGGGTGGGGCAGCTTGATGCACAGACCACAGGGGCTCACAGCAGATCGCTAGAGGGAAAACAGCACCACCTGTGCCTGCCCCTGCCCCTGCCCAGTGGCAGGGCTGCCTGAGCACTTTCCTTACGGAGCAAACAGAGATGGGGCACCTTTCCTTCAAGAAAAATCAAGGTGATTTTTGGCAAATTATGCTTCTAAACATTTCCTCAAAATGCCCAAACGCCTTAAAGAGAAGTTTACATAGTTCATGTCTTATTTGTAGACCGGGAAAGACGTGCTGGTGAAGGTGGGAGTGGGGGAGGGTGGGGAAAGAGTCCCTGGGGGCCCAGGACTTACTTGCTGATGCCGTCAAAGGAGGCCTCCCTGCAGACGCTGCCGCTGTCCGTGTTGACGCCACGCTGCGGAGAGAGAACACAGACATGTCACACGGTGCTGCACGGTACCCCCACAGCCTGCACCCCTAAGACCTCCAGCCAGGCTCAGGACAGGTATGAACAGGATCCCCCGCACCCCAACCAGCCCATCCCCTCCTGCCTTCCCCTGACACATGAGCCACCCTGCCCCAACACAAGGGCAGCCCTCCTTTGCTACCACTTGCCAAGTGGAGGAAGTGGGGGCCCCCCAAACTCTGCAGCGTTCCAGCTGCACAGCAAGGCCTTCTCCATGGAGGTGAGAGCACCCTGTTGAAACCAGCCAGGCTGCCCAGGCACAGGCAAGGATTCAGGGCCACTCCCACTACAAATCTGCTCTCCTCAGCCTGGTCCATCTTCCCTTTCCTGCACACACTCCGCACTAACTGTACAATATCCAAGAGTCCTGTCGAATCCAGCCCTTCTGGGGAGGCGTGCAGGACCCGACTCTGGCAGGACTGCTAAGAAGCAGGTGACATTCCTCTCTTAACGCCAAGGATGGAGTCGGACAGGAGTGGAGACAAAACAAGGGATTTGGGGAAAAATGGGCCCTCTCCAGAGAGGCAAGTCATTTTATTTATTTATTTATTTATTTATTTATTTATTTATTTGTTTGTTTGTTTATTTATTTATTTGAGACAGTGTCTTGCTCTGTCGCCCAGGCTGGAGTGTGGTGGCACCATCTCAGCTCACCTCAGCCTCCACCTCCCAACTTCAAGTGATTCTCCTGCCTCAGCCTCTCGAGTAGCTGGGATTACAGGTGCGCACCACCATGCCCAGCTAATTTTTATATTTTTAGTAGAGACAGGGTTCTGCCATGTTGGCCAGGCTGGTCTCGAACTCTTGACCTCAAGTAATCCGCCCACCTCGGCCTCCCAAAGTGCTGGGATTACAGGCATGAGCCACTACGCCTGGCCTGGGCGAGGCATTTTAAATCACCATTTCTTTACCCAGAACTTCAGCTTGATGTCTAACCGTACATCTAAATTAAACACATTGGATCACCTATGACAGTAATCATCTCACATAAGCTTCAACAGTAGCCATTGTGATACTAGCCATCTCACATAAGCTTCAACAGTAGCCATCAACAGTAAAGCAAAAAAAGGGCGCCAAGTGCAAACGGAAATAACCCAAAAAAACTATTTCGGTAAAAATCAATTAAGAAAAGAGAAAGGCTGGGCACAGTGGCTCATGCCTGTAATCCCAGCACTTTGGGGAGCTGAGGTGGGCAGATCACCTGAGTTTGGGAGTGTGAGACCAGCCTGATCAACATGGTGAAACCCTGTCTCTAAAAACACGAAATTAGCTGGGTGTGGTGGCGCATGTCTGTAATCCCAGCTACTTGGGAGGCTGAGGCAGGAGAATTGCTTGAACCCGGGAGACGGAGGTTGCGGTGAGCCGAGATCACTCCACTGCACTCTATCTAGCCTGGGCAACAAGAGCAAAACTCCATGTCTGACATGCTTGTTCTTCAGTGCCATAGAGAAATAGCACTTGAACATAAACTTTATTTAGTAAGGCCACTTTCACTTCCTGCAGAAAGGGTGCACTTGCCAGCAGTTTTGCTACGAGAGTACACCGAACAAAGGAGACAGGGTCATTTACAACCTGACATGTCCACCCTACTGCTGTGTCCAGTTTCCACTGGCTGTAACGGGACCTTACATTCTGTATTTGTCCTGACTGGCTAGCAACTTAGAACTTTTTAAAAGAGGCAAAGGTAGAGGGGAAGAAAGGAAGGAGGAAGGAACTTGTGGGATGCTGACAAAGGTAAAAACACTTTTAAATAAGGCAGAGGAACAGGCCATGACTTAATGCTTGCTTGGACCAGTATAAGCATGCCAGGGGGAATATTTAGGCTAAATTGTGGGAGCTAAGAACATAAAGTATATTGATTTATTATGGCTAGCAGATATTTAAGAATGTCAGCACGGGTCTTTGAATAAATTTTGCTTTTTATATTCCATCTCAAAAAAAAAAAAAAAAAAAGACAAGAGGGAAGGGTCACTTTGGGAGGAAGGCGGCTTGTGGACATGCCTCTTATATGAAACTCCCAAGCTCAACGAAGTGTAAGAAAGTACACTTCTCTGAGAAATTTCACAGAATTCTCTGGGGGCACGCCACAGCCCAAGTGCCCCCAAAACCCTGCCAGCGTACCCAGAGCCCACCTTGCACTCCCCACCCCAGCCCAGGCCCTCGGTCAGTCACTGCGCCCCACACCCCTGCTACCTTGAGGGCAGATGCCAGGGGGTGTGGTTTTCAGATTCTATTAACAGGGGAGACAGAGGATGAGAGTAAACTTTCCTTTTTCCTTTTCAAATTTTTTATTTTTAATTTTCGTGGGTAGGTATTAGGTGTATACATTTATGGGGTACATGAGATATTCTGATACAGGTACGCAATGTGGAATAATCACATCAGGATACATGGGGTATCCATCTCCTCAAGCATTTATCCTTTCTATTACAATCCAATTATACTCTTCTGGTTATTTTTAAATATACAATAAATTATTGTTGACTGTAGTCACCCTGTTGTGCTATCAAATACTAGATCTGATTTGTTCTACTTAGCTATATTTTGGTACCCATTAAACTTTCTACACCCACAAATTCCATGAGTTCAGCCTGACACAACTACATCTTCTAGCCGGGCTTAACCCTAGGAGTGGGTGTGGTGTCTCGTCCACATCCTCATGACAGGACACAGCAGGTCCCGGGGAGACTCAAGGATGGGGTCCCATAAACAGTTGGCTATTCAGACTGAGCAGGTGTTGCTACTTATCACCGATAACCATTCCTCTTGGTTTCTTTTTTTCTTTTTTGAGACAGAGTCCTGTCTGTGGCCCAGACTGGAGTGCAGTTGGCGCGATCATACCTCACTGCAGCCTCAAACTCCTGGGCTCAAGCATATCTCCCGCCTCAGTCTCCCAAGTAGCTGCAACCACAAGCACATGCCACCAGGCCTGGCTAACTTTTTAATTTGTTGTAGAGTCAGGGTCTTGCCATGTTGCCCAGGCTGACCTGGAACTCCTGGCCTCAAGCGATCCTCCCACCTTGGCCTCTCAAGGCATAACAGGCATGAGCCCCCGCACCTGACCCCTCTCAGTTTCTTAATCCTCCCCTATGGTCCCAACCTCTGCAGGGGAGGTGGCCCCCTAAAAACCCTCCCCAGAGCCAAGCACTGCCCCACCCCTGGACACCAGCCACTTACCAAAGTGAGGAGGACAGAGGGCTTCTGTGACGTCAGGACACTGGCAATCTAGAAGGTCAGAAAGAAAAACCCACTTTAGAGGCACCACTAAGCCTAATCAAGATGACATGCCACCATTCCTTCACAATGACAGTACACATGTATCAAGCAGATTCTTAGAACAGGCGATGCGGGTGCTGCCCTCACCCTGCAGGTGAAGAAACCCAGCTTTCCCTGGCTGACGGACTTCTGAAAGCCACACAGCCATAGAGGGGCAGAGAGGATAAACCTACACCTGGCTCACTTCCCACCGCACTGCCCTGCTTCCAGGCACCACACAGGTCCCTGGCTCCAAGCAGCCAGCGCCTCCCACCCTCCAAGGCCAGCCCCTCTGCCCATCTGCAAAGTTCCTGCTCAAAGACCCGTCCCCCGGGAACCCTTTAGGCTCCAGCCCTACCAGCCTCTGGTTCCTAGGGCAGGGGCCTCCCTCCCTGCTTCCCATTCAACCCCTAGACCCAGGGGAGTTGGCCTTCCCCAATCCCATCCTCTGGCCCCCACCCCACAGCCCACTCTCTGTCCCTCCACCATGACCCACTTGGACCTCCTGCCACTGCAGGCCAGTTACTTCCCAGCCAAGCCCTTGAACCTGCCTGCCGGGTCAGCTCATCTCTCCACGCCTCTGCTCCAGCTCTTACCTCTCCCTGAATGCCTTCTCCCCATCTTACTGCCTCATCGATTTGCACTCAGGATGGAAGCCCCAGCCCCCTGGGCAGGTTCGTTCACTCCCCCCTCCACTGCCCCACTGACAGTCACCACTCCCCTCAGCAAAGCGCCACGTGCCAACCAGCCTGCCAGGAGCAATTTCTTCCTCTCCCAGCCCGTCCTCCTCAGTCTGCCCTGTATCTTGGCTAGTGCAGACCCTCTTGTTTCTGAGCACCCCCAGGGCAGAGAAAAGTCTCATCTCCACAGCCCTCGCCTCTCTCCACACCCCGATCCTAACTCTTTACACCCGCAACTCAGTGGGAGAGTGAGGAGAACGTGCTGTTGTTTTAACAGCTTGATTGAGTGATCACTGACGTACTCTACGCTGCCTGTATTTAACACAGACATTTTGATAAGTTTTGACATATGTATACATATACCTTTTTTAATACTGAGATGCTTCCCAAGAAAACCTGGAACGTACTGAAAACTATAAAAAGATAAAATGCACGTACAATCCTATCTCCAGAGACGATTTAGCTTTGCACATAAAAACAAGAGATTTGTAATGACATTTGGATCATATGAAATTACATGCTTCACTTATTTCCTGTCATTATATATTCTTCAAACATGCAATTTTTAGCAGTCACTACCGCTGGGGACAGTAAATGTCCAGTAAGTCACTGATGATGGCCTGTGCCAGTCATCTTACACACAGCATCTCATTTAACCACATGGGGAGACAGTGCGGCAAACAAGCAGGTTCTGCAAATGAGAATGGCTTACAGGTTAGAGAACTTGCCTGAGTTAGGTGAAAAAATAATAGCACAGCCCAGATTTGAACCTATGGCTGTAGAATACTCTTTTAGTGGACGCTACTCATTCCTCTACGGGACACTTAAATTACATCTAATACACTTTGGGAGGATGGGACGGGTCAGGAGATCGAGACCATCCTGGCTAACACAATGAAACCCCATCTCTACTAAAAATACAAAAAAATTAGCTGGGCGTGGTGGCGGGTGCCTATAGTCCCAGCTACTCAGGAGGCTGAGGCAGGAGAATGGTGTGAACCCGGGAGGCGGAGCTTGCAGTGAGCCAAGATCACGCCACTGCACTCCAGCCTGGGCAACAGAGCAAGACTCTGTCTCAAAAAAAAAAAAAAAAATTACATCTAATAATCAGCTATTATAAATAATGCTGTGATGAACATCCTTGCATATAAGGATTTCCTTAAAATCAAATGCCAGTCGGCCACAGTGGATCATGCATGTAATCCCAGCACTTTGGGAGGCCGAGGCGGGTGGATCACGAGGTCAGGAGTTCAAGATCAGCCTGGCCAATATGGTGAAACCCCATCTCTACCAAAAATACAAAAATTAGCTGGGCATCACGTGCCTGTAGTTGCAGCTACTCAGGAGGCTGAGGCAGAAGAATCGCTTGAATCCAGGAGGCGAGGCTGCAGTGAGCCGAGATCACACCATTGCACTCCAGCCTGCTGGGCAACAGAGTGAGACTCTGTCTCCAAAAAAAAAAAAAAAAATTAAATGCCTTTAAAACTGTTGGGTGAAAAGCCACAGGATTTGTCAAGGTTTGCCATGCTCCCGGCCCAATGATCCTCCAGACATGTATCAACAATCTCCCGGGATCCTCTCTCATGTTACTGAGTGATTGCTTGGAGAACGGCTGTGTCCTTTGGCCTCAGTGTTGCAAAAAAACAGAAGGCTCAGCCGGGTGTGGTGGCTTATGCCTGTAATCCTAGCACTTTGGGAAGGCTGAGGCAGGTGGATCACCTGAGGTCAGGAGTTCGAGACCAGCCTGGCCTACATGTTGAAACCCTGTCTCTATTAAAAATACAAAAAAATTAGCCAGGCTTGGTGATTGTAATCCCAACTAGTCAGGAGGCTGAGGCAGGAGAATCGCTTGAACCCGGGAGGCAGAGGTTTCAGTGAGTCATGATAGCGCCACTGCACCCCAGCCTGGGGGGCAAGAACAAAACTCAGCATCAAAAAAAAAAAAAAAAAAAACCAAAAGGCTCAGCTGTGTCCCTCCACACCCTCAGCTCCTCCAAAGGAAGGGGAGGCTTATTAAATGGAACAGGACTGCATGTGCTGGCCCTGGGTGTGTTGTTACGTTGATGTGAAGGGTCTGCATTCATTGGCACAGAAGGAGTCTGTCAATTACAGCAGCAGAAGCAGAGAGCCAGGAGGCACTTGGGGATTGTATCTGCTATTGTCTTGGGAGGGAGGAGCACGATAACAAATGTGTGGGCTGATGGTTTTTCTCGGGGCGACGACTCTCTGGACGTGCTGGTTAGGAATAATGGAGGAGGGGAGGGCAGCCGTCTCCTTGCAGCACCGTGCTCAGACAATCCAGGCCTGACTCTGAGAGCAGGCTGTGCATCTCCTAGTCCTGGCAGGGCAACATCTTTTATTGATCACAACTGCTTGAGTGGGCCCTGGTTACTTCTGTGGCTGCAAAACCTCTCCCGGCCTGGCAGCTCCACCCGCCCTTCCCCACGGAGACCCATTAGTGCTATGCTCTCATCAGCACACCCTGACTCCGTGCCTCAAATATTAAGGGAACACAATGCGCTGTGTGTTGCTGGCTCCCGATGTATCCCCTCCGATGTATCCCCGGCACACACGACAGCATGGCTCTGTCAACTCAAGGCCTCATTTCCACGGAACGGTGGCCACTGGGGACCTCTCACACCCTGCGCTGTTAAACGGCCCTGTCTTGCTTCATGCCACAGCCAGCATCGATTTCTCGGGCAGCCCCCGGTCTCTCTGGCAGATGGAGCTGGATGGTCACAGGCAGAATTCATCAGAACCCTGTGGGTGTACACCCTCCCCCGGGGACAATCAGAGGCTTCCCACGGACACTTCCTGCGCTTTCCTAACCAGGGCCCAGACCAGGCCCGAGGGCCGCTTTTTGCAGGGTGATGAGCTGGAGAAAAAAGCTGGATATGCCTTTGCCAGCATTGGGAAAGCCTGCAAGGCTCCAGAGAGCTGGCTCTGCCCTGCAAGCACTGAAGCTTTTGAAAATAAACCTTCTTTCACGGCATTCTCCTCCAACAGTACTGCACACTGGTGGCCTGCACTGCCTCTAAAATTTCAAATTGGTTTCTCAAATGTAAACATCAGGAAACATCACCAACAGTCTGGATGTGTGGCTACTCCTTAACAATCAGGTTCCAGGAGCCCTGGGCTGGTGGTCCCACAGCGTGGCGGCCCCTGTTGACCCCATTGCTCCCGATGCCTGTCCCTGTGCTGCCGCGGTTGTCCTCTTACTGTGCTGCCTGCAGCCAACTTGGTGACCCTGGGACCTTCTCACATCTGCCTGGCACCATAAAGGAAAGCTAGTGCATGGAACGCGCGCTCCACCTGCCAGCTCTCAGCCGGTGATCCCGCCAGCCTTTGCACAGGGCCTTCACGGCAGAGCCTCGGGGCCCCACTCAGGGTTCTGCTGAGTGCCTCCTTCCCAGGGGAACTGCCTTCTCAATAAACTCAGGATCCTCTGTGGGGAGGAGGGAACCTCGGAGCCAGCTGTGCCCCATCAGACACCTGCATGTCATACACGCTATCACGTGACCGGCCATGGTTCAGAGGAGACAAGCGTTGGCTGTGATTT